AGACAGACAGACAGACAGACAGTCAGCCTGTGGTGTTACTGGAGAGCTTACAGCTTATTTTCATGGTTGTATAAAATGAACCGGTTCCTCCCTCAGCAGCACCACAATTTTAATGGCACTATTTACATTCCATGGTGTTTTTAATTCATTTTTTTGTTCAGGAAAGAGCTGAACGCAAAACACCCAGCTCTCCGTTTTTTTTTTTTTTGGAAACTACAGTGTTACAGTGAGAGGGAAAGTGATTAGGGTTCAACCAATACAGTTCTTACATATGAAACCACAAGGACTTGGAGGCAGGCACCCTCATGAAGTAGTAGAAATATTAGCTTTATCTTCTGTTGGTCTGTGTTTAATAGAAATATTAAAATATCTAGATATAGTTCTGTGATTCATCTGTAATGTGTGATATATGTACATTTAACTCTATGATACATGAAACAATAATCATTTAATATCTTTGAATTCTGCAAATAATCTAGCAACGAACACATACACAGCCCAAATAGCTCTTGTCAAATACACATGACCGAATTAGTAGAAGAGTCACAGTCCTGATTGTCTGCCTGACTAGTGTGAATAAGAGACAGTGATTAAAGTCACATCACAGGACGTTTGCTGGCTCCTAAAGTCCAGTCGTGGTTACTACACCTTTTGACATCCACAGTGTTAATATCAAGCAACCAGGTGAAATGATCGAGTCAGTGTTAGTGGCTAATTATTAGGTTTAACAATTTGAAGTAAACAAAAGAAAGAACTGTGATTTATGATGCAGGTGTAGGGGTTCCGTGTTTTCATGTAAGGGTACACTTCTTCTTAAAATACTTTCATGATGCTGTACATAGAAGTTCTGAGGGATTTAGCGTTTTATTAGTTAGTGTTACTAGTTATTGGCTCAGAAAGGCAAAAAGCATTATCGTCCACCTCCAGCCTTGTCCCACTTCCTGAAACCTCTCAGAAACTACCACAGAACCAAAAGACCCACATAAACATTTTCCTCATATGCAGCAAAAATCTATTTCACACACATGTTCTGCTGCTGTGTGACATACATCAGACACATTGGAGGTACATCTGACTTTTATTGAGGTAAAATGACAGGAATCAGATGTTGACAGCTGGATGATGACCCACAGACCAGCTCAGCCAATCATAACAGTTAAAGTACAAATTTGTAAATGAAATACATATAAGTTTGTCAGTTCTACATCTATCATTCAGGTTGTCCTTTACACCAATGTGAAATAATAAAGAAGAATGAAAGTTAAGATCTAGGTTAAAATAATTGTTCTCTTAAATAAGTTACTTATTGATTTCTAAATAATAAATGGTCAAGATTTATTTTATTATTTCTTAATTCACAGTGTTGTGTATGTGGCATGTTTAAGTATGTAAACATTAACATACTGTTTATTAGGTCCAATACTTGTTTTCCATATCCAATATCCTGATACTTGGTTCCATTAGGAAGTGTAATTTATCCTAAGGTTTCAAGATGAGTTTTCACAGCATTTTATGACATGTGTGGCAATGACGAACTGCTTGAGATCTTAACACACTGCCCTGTAACATGTAAACAGGTTTATGAATGGATTAATAATAATAACTTTATTTAAAACAAAGTACAAAGGGCTGCACAACAAGGAAACTAATACAGAAGGAAGTACATAAATAATAATGGTAATAATAATAATACCAATAATAACCTGGCATCCCAAGGAGACTCAAGATTATATCCTCTGAGAAAAGAGAGCCCTAGATGAACACAGTACTGTACAGTCCATACACATACACAACATACCTTAGAGCATACCCTGTGCTTAGATGGTCTCAATAAAAAATACAACTCTGCAATCTCAATTGTCACGGTAATAATTCTTCTTTTAAAATACAATATATATATATATCTTGAAATTTGTGATTAAATACATAAAATTAGTTCCATTTCATCACATAACATTTCATTCTGCATTCACAGCTACAGCACAAACTACCCTGAGCAGCTGCAGTGCTTTGTAAAGGTCCAAATTCACTTCAGTATAAAGTTAAATGATGTTTAGATGAGATACTCATGATCAGTTCTTAAGTGTCGCCCACCACAGTCTGCGGCGTGTGTGCTTCAGGGCCCGCCTCCACGTGGCTCTCCGCTGTGCTCTGTGTGACCACGGTTGTGTCCTTGATCTTGGCTGCGTTCTCACTCTGAGCTCGGTTCTGTTTCTCCCTCTCCAGGGCTTTCTCCATCTCTGTGTAGTAGTCAAGAGCCTTCCGGACTGGGTCTATTATGTGCTGCTGCAGAAATTATGAAAGAAATACAAATTATTTATCACATCTCCCAGAGATCGAAACCCAGATTTAGTATATATATAGCTAAACATAAATTACCTCCAGGCAGGGGAAGAGGTTGGCCAGTTCAATGAAGAGAGGCAGAAGAACAAATCGGATGAAGCCTGTTTGAGATGAAGGTTTTGTCACTTTGTCCCGATCCATGAACGGAGTGACTGGAAGACCCTCTAGCTTCTCCACGTCACTCTGAGGACAGACACATGTGGAACAGCTGGTATTACTGGGACCAGCTCTTCCCATCATTTTAACCAACTTCAAGTCATACCTCATCAAATGATTATTTTTCTCCTGGATACATTGATAATTAATATTACATCCAAAATAAATTCAGATAATAGGAGGAAAAATGGAAACTATGCACAACAGTATTGAATCTAATAGTGTATTCAGGTGTTGTTGCAGTTCTTACATGCAGTTGAAATCAGTAGCCTACCTGGTTGTAGAATTCCTGTAGAAGACAGTCCAGCCAGGGCTCAGCCACCTCCATGGGCCGTGCCTCGTTGGATATGTCACTCACTTTGATCAGGATCATCATCAGCTGCAGACACAAGGAGGCGTCACAAGAAAGTGTATTGTAGCAGGAGGAGAGAAAACATGGTAGCGTATGTGTGTGTGTGTGTGTGTGTGTGTTCTGTCCTCTTACCACATCTTTGTGGTCCTTGTTGGTGAAGTCGAACGCAGGCAGGATGGACTTGAACTTGATGAGAATGTCATTGTGCCTTGTCATGTCAGTGGCCAGAATGCATCTGCAGTGACAACAGATCAGGAAACATTCTGCATAATGATCAATCATCATGAGGAAATAACTTAAGGAAACGTGCATGCTAAGAGAATTAGAGAGCGGATCTCACTTGATGATTCCCTCTCTTATCTGTTTGTATTGATCCATGGGCAGATTTCTGAAGATGTTGTTCTCCGTCTACACAACAGAAAAAAACACATATGTCCTTCTTCATAAATCCCTAAATGAGTTTAAATCCTTTAACAAATGTATGTTTTATAGCAGCACGGAGAGAATGTTTGAACCCCACCTTCTCCAGTAGCTCAAAAGCTACAGCACAGTGATGGTTCTCCAGGGGAGAGATGTCATTGTAGCGAAGAGCTAGTTCAGTCCGAGCATTTATCTGGAAAAGGCAAAATATCATGATTCTCATGGTCAAACATGTGTATCTGCAGGACGTCGCAACCACGGCTCCACCCCCCGATCCCTCTGCAGACTCTAGCTCCTAATATGCAAGATAGCAGCGTTCATATCTGGGATATTTGGACTTCATTTCTGGATCGTAGGAGGAAGTGAAGACACATTGTCCATTGTGTATACAGTCTATGGTCCATACCAGCAGTGAAAAGAGTCCTTTCTATAGAAATGTCAGTGTAAGTGATGGGGCACGAACTCCATGGTCATCGCTCAGCTAGTGGGAGCACAAAGGGAGAGTTTTAATATGCATACCTGATAGGCATTATTGTATCCTGTGTGGTCAAGGTCGTGGCATACTGCAGAGGTCAGCATGATCAGCAGGTCGATGGCATCCAACTTACTCCTCAGGTCAGTCAGCCAGATCAGACCATACATCTGTTCAGAGACCGTCAAAGTCAACGTCATTGTCAATTCGGCCAAATGTACAGGACATAGACGGGATTGAAATGCAGTTTCTCTCTGATCCCTGGTGTAAACATATAAGTAGATAGAACATACAAGTACGCAAAAACAGAACATATAAGAACACGACATGATAAGCGATGCATACAAAGTGGAGGACAGGATGGGAGCCGGAGATTTCTGTGTGATTGCTTGCCCCGCCCTAATATGTTTCTCCTTTGATTGATTGCCCGGCCTGAGCGTCATTAGGTGCATTTGACTTGATGCGGCGCTGACTTAACGTGATGCATGCTGGTCCGTAGACTATGCATAATGGCTTTCAGGGTTTTTACCTTGATAACTGCTGGAACTGAGGCTGATTGGAGAGGGAATCAGTACACTTGTAACTACTTTTCAGAATGGAACATTTATCACAACTGTTACAGACGAGAATTCACACCACCAGGTGTAGTGAGCTTTTCTGGAGCTTTTCTAGTCTTGATGACCACTCAAAGCAACGCTTTCTCTATCACATCTCATTATTATTATTATTATGCATTCTATATATATGCAGCCCATTTACCATTAACATCTGACTGCCCTGAGGGAGAGATACCAACTAGACATTGACGTAATGGCATTATTACAAATACAGACGCAACTGGGCTGTCCACGATTTACCTTGATTAAACTGTTGCGGCCTCAGAGCCAGGCGTAACATAAACCTAAACA